GCAACGCCTTCGAAAATTGCAAGCAAGCTGGAAACGAGGGCGCGAGGTCGAAGGAGCTCGTGAGGGGGTCCCGCGCGAGAACGCGATTTTACAGAACTTGCGAGGAACCGCTGTTGCCGTAAACCCATGGCCATCATCAAAGTTTGAGCCTCACTTTCCCTGGTGTGGGGACAAGGGGTGTGAGCCCGGAGAGGGGGCGCATGTCACACCCCAGCTAAATAAAATACATTGGGCACCAGTGGGGGGATCAGCAAGAAAATTAGGCAAGTGTGGGAGGACAAACAATTGGTGATTGCACTGTGGAGGTGCAAGCTCGTTTGTGCAAGCTATGTGGTGTAAGCTCTGTTGTGTAAGAGCTTCAGTGCGGGCTACGTGGTGTAAGATATCGGGTGTAAGCTAAATTGCGTAGGTTTTGGGGTGAGAGCTACGTGGTTTGAGCTAGGCTGTGTGAACTATATGGTGTCAGCTATGCTGTGTAGCTGTGTAGTGTGATCTATGTGTTGTGAATGCTAGTGTGCAAACTCTGCGGCATGAACTACGTGGTGACGGCTACCCATGTTGGCTAGCGGCGGGCCATTGAGCAACAATGGATTGGCAAAGCAGCGGGCCTTTCAAGCGAATTTCAAGTATTGCACTGACGCCTCAAGAGAGAGAGCACGATATCTGAGTGAGTGAGTTGTGACAAGGTCTCGCGCGAGAGCACGATCCCTGGACGTCGGGAGCGCCGCGCATTCGTAAATTTGCAATGCAGTCCTGGGCAAGAGGGCGATTCCCACGTAGATCGTGAGGAAGTCCCGAGCGAAAGCGCGATGTTGAATTACTGGCGACGGAATATCTGGCGGGAGTCGCTGTTGTGGCACACCAGTCGCCAACAAGACAAGGTGCGAGCCCCCAGGGGAGGGTACCTTAAGTGAAACGTAGAATGGGTATCAGTAGGGGGAACAGGAATGGATCTTCGCCAGAATTGAAAATCCAAGCACAACTGCAATCATTTAAAGCCTGGTCGTACTTCGCTGTTGGCGTGCCACTCAACACGTATGCCCCGAGGCCCCGATACACGGCGTCTTCGCCTTCGGTCGTACACCCTGCGGGGGTGTGCGTAGCCATTGCTTGCCACGCGTAGTTGGCGGGGCCCCTAACGGAGGAGGAGGAGGCAGCAGAGCGTGGGCAAGCCCTACCGAAGGAGCAGGATGGGAAAGGGAACGCGAGAGAGCGAGGAAAGGAGGAGATAACGTCAACGGAGACGGGCAAGATGACAGGAGGGTAATTGACGGAGGAGGAGATATGGCAGAAAGGGGAGGAGAGAGGAGCAAACAGTTTGGCAAGCGTCGTGCCATTAGAGCGAATTTCGTAGGTTGCATTGAAGTCTCAAGGGGGAGCACGAGGAAGTCCAGCGTCCAACGCGAGAGCACTAGTCCTGGACGTCGAGAGCGCAACGCCTGGGTAAATTGCAATGCAGTCCTAGGCGAGAGCGCGATTCCCACGTAGATCGTGAGGGCGTCTCGAGCGAAAGCGCGATTTTGAATCTGCTCCGAGCACCCATCCTGCTAATCCCGTGCCTCATCCTTCTTCCTCCCCCTTCCATCCGTCCTCTCGTCCCCTGCCTTAGGGGCTGCACGAATGACACGCGGCAAGTAAGGAGGATATACCCCCGGGGGGTACGATCGAAGACGAAGAGGGCGGGTATCGAGGGTTTGGGATATACGTTTGGAATGGAACGCGTGCAAGTAAGAGCGAACAGTCTTAAAATTATTGTTGATGCTGTGAAATAGGGGCCAACAACTCAGTTTAAGCACCGCCTCCTTCCCTGAAGAAAAACAAGGTGCGAGCCCCCCTGTGGGGGGTCACTTGACTTGAAACATCGAATGGGCACTAGTGGTGGGGAGGCCAACCATAACTATTGTCAGAGATGCGAGTTCACAAAAAACAACCAACAACACATGCCAAAGCGAGGTGGCAGATAGGCGCGTCAGCCCAAATGGATAGATGGTCCGAGCGAAGCGCCTCGCGTACTCCTCGAGGTACGCGTCGCTATCTGCCGGGTGCCTGATGCTTGGCTCCACGACCTCGTGCGAGAGCTGCTCCGCAAGTGCGGGTGCCTTGGCTACACTTCGGCACAGTTTCATCCCTCGTACCAGCACCTGCAGGTCGTAGTCGTCGAAGAGGTAGCCTGCACGGATGCGGGGCGGATCCATGGGATCGCCAGATCTGAGCTCTATGCACCCCTCGCTCTTTGGTAGAAGCAACGTTGGGAGAAAGGATACTCCTCGGGGAAGCTTGCCTGGGTCCCTAAATATTTCACCGTGCTCCCCGGTGAGGGCCATGGTCTCCCAGATCCCAAAATGAGAAGACTTGAGGACGCCACCAGCTATGTGCAGTTGTATGTCCACCTCCTCGTGGTGTGGATCCTGCTTCTCCCGAAGGCCAGAACGCGTGAAGGCCATATTGGAGATGCCAGATCCACCAAAGGGGCCCGCACCAGAAAGGAAGTAGCGGAAGAGAAGAGGCAGCGCGACACGCACTGCCGTCAGGTCGCGGACGATCGGGTCCGCCTCTCTGGCCGCGAACAACATGGGCACGAACAAGTGGTCCAGCATCCTTCTGCCAACGCCGGGTGATGGCACTGCCACAGGCACCCCGTGCTCTGCCAGGTGCTCCCTCGGCCCGATGCCCGACAGCAGCAGCAGCTGAGGCGACTGGACAGCCCCGCATGCCAAGATCACCTCACGGCGCGCAAAAACGACGCGGCTGGAGCTCCGCTGGAGCTCGGCGTCCGTCCGGCCCTCCCGATACCACACCCCTTCTGCGGTGGTTCCCCGGAGTGCCACGCGTTCTGCGCGACAGTGGGTCCAAATCGTCAGGTTCGGCCGCTTGTTAGCTCCGCTGTTGCGCAAGTATGCTTGCGCCATGTCGCAGCGCGTGCCGTCTGGGCCGACGTTGACCTGCGTTGTGCCTCCTGCCCCTGCAAGGGGTCCAGAGTTGTAGTCCTCGGCGCCTTCGCGGACAAGGCCAACCTCCACGCAAGCGCGGCCGACCCTGCGCGACACTTCCGCGCAATCCTCCCCGGCGCCCGCGAGGATGTCGTCCATGCGGCGAGTCTGCAGCGGCCCGCCGCTGGCGTGGTCACCAGGGGCACCAAAAAGGCAGCCCTCCGACTTCTGGAAGAAGGGCAGCACCTCCTTCCAGCTCCACCCCTCGCAGCCGAGCTTCGCCCACGCGTCGTAAGTTTTTGGGTCGCCTCGCACGTAGATCAGGGCGTTGACGGCAGAGGTACCTCCGAGGCACCTGCCGCGGGGCCAGTTGTGCACGGCGCCGTTCTGGTGCGGCTCTGGCTCGGTCTTGAAGGCCCAGTCTACCTCGGAATTCCGACCGTGCAAGTCCAGAGCATACCTGAACGGCCAGCGTACGGCGCTGGTGCCCCCAGGGCCGCCTGCCTCGATCAAAAGCACAGACAAGCTCGGGTCCTCGCTAAGACGGGCCGCGAGGACGCAGCCCGCCGAGCCACCGCCGACGACTATATAGTCGAACTCCTGTGGGGCACGCCGAATGACAGAGAGGAGAGGGAGGAACTGTGTGTTCACTGACTCCGCTGGGGCTCTGGGGAGCCTGCGAAGTGGCGACGGTTGCAGACTTGGCATAACCCCCCTTCCAGGGAGCGCGAGGCTCAGTCTGGATCTGCGTGTCCCCCCACGCCGCTGTGCTTCCCAGGAGTGCCCGAAAGCGACGAGAGTTGCCCATTTGGCAGCCCCACAAGCAGCTGCGAGGTCACGTCTCGGTGCGCATGCTGGGCCTCACAAAGCCCCCGAAAGTGGCACCAGTTGCATCATTCGCATCTCCCAGGCAGCAGCGAGGTCTCGCCTGGGTGCTCGTACAACTCCACTCCGCTGGACCTCCCAGGAGCGCGCGAGAGCGGCGAACGTTGCGCAGCTAGCAGTCCTCCACGAGGCCGCGACTTCTCCTGAGAGTCTGCGTGACACTCCGCTCCAATGGACCTTCCTGGAGCGCACGAACGTAACAACAATTGCACAGCTGGCAGACCACCAAGGAGCCGCGAGGTCTCGCCTGGATATGCGTAGCGCTCCACTCTGCGGGACCATCCACTAGCGCACGAAACTGGCGACGGTTGCGCAGTTGGCAGCCGCCACGGAGCAGCGAGATCTCGTCCGAGTCTGCGTGGCACTCCACTCCGCTCAGCCGCTCGACTTCCCCGAAGCGCACGAACGTGGCAACAATTGCGCAACTGGTAGCCACCACGGAGCAGCGAGGAATTGTCTGCGTCTGCGTGGCACTCCACACCGCTCGACCTTCCAGGAGCGTGCGAACGTAGTAACAGTTGCGAAGCTGGCAGCCACCCAGGCAGCTGCGAAGTCACGTCTGAGTCTGCGTGGCGTTCCACTCCGCTGACCTCCCAGGAGCGTATGGGCGAGGCGGTGGTTTGGCAGTTGGCAGCACCATGGCTAACAGCGAGGTCTCGTTTCGTCTGCGTGGCAATCCACTCCTCTGGCCTTCCCACAAGCCGACGACACCGGCGACGCTTACGCAGCTGCCCCCCTGGGATGCGCTAGGCCCAGTGTGGGTGGCAAGCAAAACGCAGGTAGGAGATGTACTTTTGATTCAAAACGATAACTCGAGTTATGTTGGTGGGTGGGTGGGTGGGTTCGCGCAGGCCAAATAACAAGCGTTAGTTGTCTGTTGTCGTGTGTGTGTGTGTGTGCGCGTGTGTGCGCGTGTGCGTGCTTGCGTGCGCGTGTGGCGGTGAGGATTTGGGAATTGGAAAGGATTCTACAAGGGAAAAACGAAGAGTTTGGGAGGATTTTGGAATTGGAAAGGATCCTACAAAGGAAAAAAAAGAAGTTGGAAAGGGATTTGATACATGATTTCCAGGGTTAGACAGGAATTTCAAATCCCAGAACGAATTCTGGAATCGCCAGAGCGGCGCCAGAGCCTGTGGGGAAAAACGAGTTGGAGAAGGATTTGATACAGAATTTAAGGAGTTAGAAAGGGAATTGGTAAAGGATTTCCAGAGTTAGAAAGGAATTTCGGGTTCCAGAAAGAATTCTGGAATTGCCCGCGCGGCGCTGGAGCCAGTAACGGAAAAACGAATTAGAGAGGGGATCTGGTACAGGATTTAAAGAATTAGAATAGGGATTTGATGAAGGATTCCCTGAGTTAGAAAGGAATTTCGAACCCCAAAGAGAAATCTGGAATTGCCTCTGCGGCGCCCAAGCCCATAGGGGAAAAACGAGTTAGAACCAGAATTTGATAAACAATTTACTGAATGAGAAAGAGGTTGTGTAACATATTTCCAGAATTAGGAAAGAATTTCGACTCCCAGAAAAAAATCCGGAATTGCCTCGTACGCAAAGCCAGTAAGGGAAAAACGAATTAGAGGGGGATTTGATAAAAGGATTGTAGGAGTCAGAAAAGGACTTGGGAAAGGATGTCCATAGTTCGAATGGAATTTCGAATCCCGGAGCGAATTCTGGAATTGCCCGAGCGGCGCCAGAGCCATCAGGGAAAGACGAATCAGAAAAGGATTTGATGAAGGATTTAAAGAATTAGAGGGGGATTTGATAAAAGGATTTCCAGTTAGGAAGGAAGTTCGGATTCCAGGAGAATTTTGGACTTGCCAGAGCGGCGCAGGAGCCAGTAGCAGAAAAACGAATGAGAAAAGGATTCAAGGGACAAGCGAATTAGAGAGGGATTTGATAGAGGATCTAAGGAGCTAGAAAGGGATTTGATACAGGATTTCCAGAGATAGAAAGGAATTTCGAATCCCAGAGAAAACTCTGGAATTGCCCGAGCGGCTCCAGGACCAGTAAGGGAAAAACGTGTCAGGGAGGGATTCGATAAAGGATTCCAAAGAGTTAGAAAAGTATTTGGTAAACGATCTCCAAAACTTCTAAAGAGAGTTCTGGAATTGCCCGAGCGGCGCCAGATCCAGCAGGGGAAAACGAATTAGGAAAGGATGTGATAAAATAATTAAGGAACTAGAAAAGGATTCGATAAAAGGATTTACCGAATTAGAAAAGAATTTCGGATTTCAAATGGACTTCTGGAATTGCCCGATCGGCGCCAGAGCCAGTAAGGGAAAAACGACGTATAAATGGATTTGATACACGTTTGAAGGAGTTAGAAAGGGGTTGGATACAGGATACCCAGAGTTAGAAACAAATCGTTAGAAGGGAATGTCGAATTCCCGAAAGAATTTCGGGAATTGCCCGGGCGGCGCCAGAGCCTGTAGGGGAAAAGCGAATTAGAGAAGGACTTGATCATGACTACACGGAATTAGAAAAGGATTTGAAACCAAATTCAAGGCGTTAGAAAGGAATTTCGAATCCCAGAGAGAGAAATCTGGAATTGCCTCTGCGGAGCCAGAGCCCTCGGGGGGAAAAAGAATGAGAAGAGTTTTGATACAGGATTTCCAGAAATAGAAAAATTTCGACCCCCAGGAAAAAACTCCGGAATTGCCAGAGCGGTGCCAGAGCCAGTGAGGGAAAAACGAAGTACAAATAACATCGAAACCAGATTTAATTTAACAATTAGACAAGGATGTGGTAAAGGATCTCCAGAAATAGACATGAATTTCTGTTCCCAGGGAGAACTCTGGAACTGCCGGAGCGGCGCCAGAGCCAATAGGGGAAAAACGAATTAGGGACATATTTGATAACGGAATCAAGGAATTCGAAAGGGATTTGGCAAAGGATTTCCAAAGTTAGAAAGAAAATTCGAGTCTCAGTGCGAACTCTGGAATTCCCCGAGCGGCGCCAGAGAGGAATTTGAGAAGGGATTCAAGGAGTTAGACAGGGTTTTGATAAAAGGATTTCCAAAGTTAGAACGGAATTTCTAACCCCAAAGGGAATTCTGGAATTGCCCGAGCGGCGCCAGGGCCAGTCGGGGAAAAACGAGTGAGAGAGGGATTTGCTAAAGAGACGAAAGGAATTAGAAAGGGGCCTGGTGCAGGATTTCCACAGTTAGAAAAGGATGTCGAATCCCATAGAGAAATCTGGAATTGCTTCTGCGGAGCCAGAGCCCGTGGGGGAAAAACGAATTATAGAGAAATTTCACATGAAGGATTTAGGGAGTTAGAAAAGGAGGTGATAAACAAGGATTTCCAGAGTAAGAACAGAATTTCGGATCCCAAAGAGAATTCTGGAATTGCCCGAGCGGCGCCAGAGCCAGTACAGGAAAACGAGGTAGGGGGGGGATGTGATAAGGCATTTATGGAGTTAGAAAGGGATGTGACACAGGCTTTCCAATAGTTAGAAAAGAATTTCGCCTTCCAGAGAGAATTCTGGGGTTGCCCAAGCGGCGCCATAGCCTGTCAGGGACAAAAACGAATTAGAGAAGGATTTGATAAGAATTAGAACAAGATGTGATAACATATTTTCCGAATCAGAAAGGAATTTCGAATTTCAGAAGGAATTCGGGAATTACCAGCGCGGCGCTAGGGCCAGTGGGGGAAAAAACGACTTAGACAGGGATTTGATGAACAAAAATTAAGGAGTTAGAAAAAGATTGGGTAAAGGATTTCCGGCATTAGACGGGAAATTTCACATCCCAGAAAGATTTCTGGATTGCCCGAGCGGCGCCAGAGCCAGTGGGGGGAAAATCAAATTAGAGAGGGATTTGATACATAATGTAAGAGATAGAAAGGGATTCGATAAACGATTTCCAAAGATAAAAGAAGTTTCGGATTCCAAAGAAAATTCTGGAATTGCCGGACCGGCGCCAGAGCCAGTAGGGGAAAAACGAATTTGAAGGAGACTTGATAGAGGATAAAAATGCTAAAAGAGGATTTGACAAAGGATTCCCAGAGTTAGACAGGAATTTTGGATTCCAGAGAGAATTCTGGAATTGCCCGAGCGGCGTTAGGGATAATCAAATTAGCGAGGGAATTGGCGTAGGATTTGAGGAGTTAGAAAAGGATTTGATAAGGATTTCCTGCATAAGAAAAGGATGACCAACCCCAGAGAGAATTCTGGAATTGCCAGAGCGGCGCCAAAGCCAGTCGGGAAACAAATAGGGAAGGATTTTAAGGAGTTACAACAGGATTTGATGCACGATTTCCAGCGCTAGAAATAAGTTTCGAATCTCAGGGAGGATTCTGGAATTCCCTGAGCGGTGCCAGAACCAGTAGAGAAAAAAACGAATCAGAACAGGATGTGATCAAATATTTCAGGAATTAGGAAATGTTTTGATAAAAGGATCTCCAGAATGAGAAAATGTGTTTGGGATGCCAATGGGAATTCTGGAATTGCCCGCGCGGCGCCGGGGCCATTGGCGGAAGAACGAATTAGGAAAGGACTGGATAAAATGATTTAAAGAATTAGAAAGGGATTTGATAAAAAGGATTCCCAATACGAAGGAACTTCGGATTCCGAATTAGCTAAAGATTTAATAGCGGATTTGTGAAATTAAAAAGGATTTAATAAACAGGAATTCCATAGTCAGACAGGAATTTTGAATCCAAGAGAGAATTCTGGACTCGCCCGAGCGGCGCTGGAGCCCGTGGGGGAAAACGAATTAGATAGGGGGTTGGTACAGGATTGAAAAAATCAGAAGGAATGTTATAGCGGATTTCCAGAGTTAGGAAGGAATTTCCAATTCCTAAGAGAATTCTGGCATTGCCCGAGCGGCGCCAGAGCCGCTGAGGGAAAACGAATTAGGAAAGGATGTGGTAAGGGATAGAACATGTAGAAAGGGATGTTATACAGGATTTCCAAAGTTAGAAACGAATATCGGATTCCAGAGACGGCGGAGTGCCAGAGCGGCGCCAGGGCCAGTAGGGGAAAACGAATTAGGAAGGGATTCGTTGAAGGATTAAAAGAATTAGACAAGGATTTGATACAGGATTCCCAAAATTAGAGAAACATATGAATCCTGTGAGAACTCTAGAATTGCCAGAGCAGCGCCAGAGCCAGTGCGAGATAAACTAGTCAGAGAGGGATGTGATACAGGATTGAGAGAGTTAGAAAAGGACTTGATTCCCGGAGTTAGAAAGGAATTCCCAATGCCAGGAAGAAATCTGGAACAGCCTGTGCGATGCCAGAGCCAGTCGGGCCCAGGAAGCCTTCGATCCTAAGATTGCCCAAAGACGGCCAAATTTCTTCTTAACTCTCGGAATTCCCATGCAAGGCCTTTCCTTACTCGACTTTCAGCAGGTGGCAGCCCCAATGCAATTGCCTCCATCGCGCATTCCCCAGCCACCCTCCTTGTTTAAACCAGAGATGACCCCTAAAACAACGGCCGCCTGTCGCAACAATTCCTGGTTAACTCTCGGAAACCCAACACAATGGTTGTCCTTACTCGACGTTTCCTCCCAACTGAGGACAGTTCCAATGAAATGCCCTCCCCCGCGCGATCCCCCCACCTCCCTTGCCCCCCTCCAACGCCACAATTCCTTCTTAACTTTTGGAAGCCCAATGCAATACCCCAACTGATGCCCCCCCCCCCACCACACACACACCACCACCGCCACCACCACCACCACCACCACCACCACCACCAACTCGCCCACCCAGAAGCCACAACTTCTCCTCAACTCTCGGAATACAAATACAGCGCATTTCCTGACATGGCTTCCAGCAGGTGGCAGCCCAAATGCATTTGCCTCCATCGCGTATTCCCAAGCAGCCCTCCTTGTCGAAACCAGAGGTGGCACCCAAAACAGGGGGCGCCTATCGCCGCAATTCCTTCTTAACTCTCGGAATCCCAACACAATGTTTGTCCTAACTCGACGTTTTCTCCCAAGTGAGGACACTTCCAATGCAATGCCCCCCCCCCCCGCGCGATCCCCTCACCCCCTTGCCGCCCCCCCCCCTCCACATGTTACAATTCCTTGTTAAACTCTTGGAAGCCAAATACAATGCCCCAACTGATGACAAGTGCCCCTCCTGCTCCAAAAGCTATAATTTCTGCTTAACTCTCAGAATCCCAATACAATGCTTGTCCTAACTCGACTCGGCAGGTGGCAGCCCAAATTGCAATTTGCCTCCATCGCGCATTCCCACGCCACCCTCTTTGTCGAAACCAGAGATGATCCCCAAGACAGGGGCCGCCTATCGCCACAATTCCTGCTTAACTCGCGGAATCCCAACGGAATGTTTGTCCTAACTCGACGCTTCCTCCAAATTGAGGACAGTTCCAATGCAATGCCCTCCCCCGAGGGGCGCTTGGGGTCGCCACAATTCCGCCAAACATTTATTGTAACATAACGCGAGTTATGTTTGTGGGTGGGTGGCTGGGTGAAAGACGAAAATAACATGCGTTAGGTTTTCCGAATAAAAACCATCTCTAGGAGGCAGGAGGCAGGAGGAGGGAGGGGGAGGGAGGACTGATAAAGGAGGCCGGCGAGCAGTGCTCCTTTCAAAACGACACCCATACACAGGAGGGTTGGGAGAAAGCAAGCGAAGGACGGGCACTCCTCCGACCCCCTCCTCCCTCCTCCCTCCTCCTCACTCCTCCCGCCTCTCCCATTCCCCTTTCCTCACTCCTTCTCCCCCCCCTCCCTCCTTGAACTTCGCGAAGGGAATGCAGCAGAGGGCCCCAAACATCGGGCGCCTCGAATTTTCAGCACGGACCCCCCAGACACTGGAAGCCCCGACCCTTTCCCTGGGGCTGGCTTTTCACCCTGAGCCGTGCTGCTGGCGGCCCTGGGGCTCGAGGGCGGCCACCCGAAGCCGAACACTGCACCCCCCCTCCCGGCCCCCCCCCCTCCTTGATTTTGCCCCAACGCGTCGTTTGTATGGAAAGCGCTGGCCTCCTGAGAAACAGTCGAAGTGCAATTTTCAGACCCTAAAGCACCCCCTTCTTAGGCCCGAAAGTGCTCCTTCACGAGCCCTGCAGGGCCCATTTTCGGCACCCCCTCGTTACCCCCCCAGTGATCCCCCGCACTATGCGCCCTCCAAGCAGAGCTTCTGCAGTCAACGCAAGGCCCCCCTCCGCCGGCACGCTGAGCGCCTGGGGGCGGCGCGGCAGGCGCCGCCAGGGTGGCCTCGCGCTGGCCCATGAAATCCGCGCGAGCCTCCAATCGTAATGTCCTGCTGCATCCTTTAGTGCGTATGTGGCTTCGGGCGCTTCCTCTTCGGGAGGGTTTATCAACGTTCCGTATGAATACGCGCCCCCTCCCCAACCTGGCCGGCGACGAACCCGGGACACTGAGTCCCCCCGCCATCCCTGTCAAAAGAACCATGCAAAGTGCACACAGAAACAAACATTGGACCGTGCGCGGGCGTGCCCTTCTTTTGCCCGCTCCGTGCAGACCAACCATCCCTGACAAAACACAGAACAACATCGTGCGCGGGCGCCTTAGGAACACGTTTCATTGGTTTTGGCAGGGACGGCGGCGGTGCCTTCGAAATGTTCGCTCTGTCAACACATGATGCGTAACACACTGTATGGCAAAAGCAGGTTCATGCGCGGGCGCCCCGCGATCGTTGCGCATTGGGTTCGCAAGGAGGAGGCGGCGGGGAGGTGCCCTCAGATTGGCTGCTCTGCTCACGTTCGCGAAGCTTGACAAGAAACAACACAACATGCATTGTGGCCGCAACATCTGCATCATGCGCGGGCGCCCCGTGATCACTTTGTGTTGGTGTTTGACAGGGACGGCGAGGGTGCCATCATACTGTCTGCTGTGTGCTTCCGACGGGTATCAGGAAATCGGTGGGATCTGGGCCTCGGGCTCGGATGCTGCCTGTGTGCGGGGAATAGCGGGTGGGAGTGAACGACGCGGCTTGCGGCATGGGGTAGCTTGATCACTGCCCCTTCCTGATGGACACCCCCTCCCCCAGCCGACCGGCGACAAACCTGGAACAGTGCGCCCTCCCCCGTCATCCCCAACACAATGAGAAGTGCAACATGCGGCAAAATATTGCTGGTCTTATTGGTTTTGACAGGAACGGCGGGAGAGCCAGCATATGGCCTGTCTTGTGCGCAGGGCCACCATTATTTGCAAATAAACCTTGCTACAGACCCGACCAAATGCAATTGTGAATGCGGCGGTTGTGAGAACCATCTTCGGTGAAGCTCCCGATGGGGCCACGCGCGAGAAGGGCGTGCCTGACTGGGATGGGGACGCTAAGCGCGGAGGGGCGCACCAGAACGCGCGAGGGGCATGCGAATACCACGAGGGAGATCAGAAGAAGGGGGCGCGCAAACTGATCACCGTTGTGGTGAGACCTGGCATTGAGAAGCACACTGAGCATTCACGAAACGACAGACAGGGTAGCAAAGGACACCCGCAGGGGACGCGGAGGTCAGCCGAAGCGGGTTGCATGCAAATGTAACCGATTGTGGCTGACAGGCACCGGAAGCAGCGGGCACGAGGCTTGAAGGATGACGCGGAAAGACTCCTAGATTACATTCTCCCCAGGGCGGCAGGGACGTCGATACCGTCGCACGTGTCCAGCGCGCGATCTGGTGGCGAGGCGATGCAAACAGAACGAGTTCTAGGGCGGCGCCGCGCGGGAACGAGCGCGGAGAACCGCCGACGTATGTCAGTCACCCCTCATGGAGTTCCGACATCGCGCGGCAGTCGCCCATGTCAGCTAGTCATGAAACGCTGCCACTGGGTTCCGTGGTGGAGCTCCTTATGGGGCCCCGAAGCGCGCGAGGGGTGTGCCGAAATGGGCGCGGTGGCGCCACGCGGACACTACCAATGGGGCCTTCGGTGGAGCTCCCTATTGGGCCACCCATCGCGCGAGGGGTGTGCCCTAATGGTTGCGGTGGCGGACGTGAGATGGGTGTGCCGAGATGGATGCGGTGGCGCCATGCGGACCCTGCCAATGGGGCCCTTGGTGGAGCCCCCTTTAGGGCCACGAAGCGTGTGAGGGGTGTGCCGAAATGAGCGCAGTGGCGCAATGCGAACCCTGCCACTGGGGCTTCCTGTGGAGCCCCCATTCTGGGGCCACGATACGTGTGAAGGGTGCGCCGAAATGGGCCTGGGAGTGCTGAGGCAGGAACGGGAGGAAGGATGAGAGAGCGGGAGGATGGGAAGATTATCGTGATGATGCGGATGATGATGACGACGATGATGCCGATAATGATGGTGATGCTGATGGCGATGATGACGATGCGGACGTGCGGAGGGCAGAGGCGGGGATGTGAGGAAGGGAAGGACACGGAAAGGGGAAGGAAGATGCGGGGCGCTGTCTCTTCAAAACGTGGATCCAACACCACAGGATGGTTGGGGAAAACCATACGAACTGCACTTCACGGCACACAAATGGTCATGCGCGGACATCCCATGATCAATGTACGCTGGTGTTTGGCAGGGGCGGTGGAGGTGCCGAGATATTGCCTGCCGTGGGCAGGCCCACCCAAACATCATGATGACCACTCCGCTGCGATTGTGCATGGGCTCTCGACAGGGATGGCGATGGCCGACATGTTTACCGATGCGCGCGGGCGCACCTGGCACCCACTCTGCGCGTGCCCCGAACGTGGTTTACCTGGCGCAGATGGAGCATGAGGCACTTTTGGCGCACGTGGAGCACGTGGCACATCTGGCGCATCAGGCGTGCGTGGCACGTTTGGGCCCCAGGGGCGCCTGGCGCGCCTGGTGCGTGTGGCGCGCCTGGCACGCGTGGCGCACCTCGCCTCAGAGTCGCGTGCTTGGGGTCTGTATTGGTTCCCAATAGCTGAATGCGCTGAGACTTGGGTACGACTTATGTGTCGGGAGGGCAGGTGGGAGTGAGCCCAACAGTTTGCGTCTGGAAGAAATGTTTTGACACCTCCCCACAGCGCTCCCCCTGGGTCTGGAAGGGCGCCTGGCGGGTAGCTAGAGCGTATAAGATGGCTCCAAGAGGGCCGCAGAAAGCCCAGCATGGCCTACAAGTCCAAGGTGGCTCAAGATAGCGCGAGGTCGCTCAAAATTGTCTCAACGTGGTGCAAAAAATCCCAAGACCGCCCCAAGAAAAGGTCCAAGTGGCCTTCAGGACTCGCCAGGGCGCCCCCAAGATGCCAAAATCTACCCAGATCCCGCGGGACACAATGATTGTGGCCTTCTCGCCCGTTCGCTTCCGATGCCTTTCCGAGGTCGCAAGATGGCCTCAAAAGGGCCCCAGAGAGACCCAATGGGGGACGGCCCCATGCGGCGAAGAGCGCCCCAAGAGGCGAGATTAGCGCTCGAGAAGGGCGGGACAAATTGAAGACCTCGCATCCTTGATCGATGCCCTCCAGGACGGTCCCACGAAAACCCCCGAACATCCCTAAAGGGCCCCTAGAAGGGCCCCAAGAAAACCCAAGACGCTCCAAAATGCTCCCTCAGAGCCACCGACAGGCCCTCAAGACGCCCCAAGATGCATCCAACAGGCACTCAAGAGATACCCCAAGAGACCCACGGAAGCATCCAACGGACCCCTGGCCACCACAGGTTCCCGACATCTCCACATGGTGTCACGCTCTCCCGTTCAGGGCAGCGCCTATAAGCATAGTGTCTGGGTGGACTGGCTGGGATGCGACGCTAGCGGGATCTGGAAACCCTGGGTCCCAAATGATCGACACCTCTCGGGGGCGTATACTTTGCTTGAGACACTTTCCGCCAGCCTTCCGCTGGCGGCGGCAACCTCGCTTCACTTCCGCCGGCTTCCCCCGCCAAGGGCCAAATGCCATCCTCGCAGGCGGGGCCTTCCTGGAACGCCCCTACGCTTCTCCACTCAATGCCTGGCCGGGTGCACCGAAGAGGGGGTTGCCAGGAACAGGGGGCCCCGAGGCACGTGCGCGGACGAGGGGAGGGGAGGGGAGCGCCCTGACAGGAGGAGTCCATGACGCCTGGGGGATGTCATGGCCCCGGCCACGAACCCCAGATAGCCCTCACCCCCAAGTGCGCCACCTGGCGGCATTCGGGTCGTACCTCGGGCCTCCAGCGGCCGTTCGGGACGATCCAGCCGCCCCTCGGAAGCCTTCGACGAGGCGCACCTCGAGGCAAGAAGACTCCAAACAAACGCGAACCCAGAAATTCGATGTATCTGCTCCTCCTCATGGGCAGCGCGATCTCTT